AATTCCCCAGATTTCTGCGAGACAATGACCAACACAAAGCAGGGGGGATTCTCTCCGTCTCATACCTTGCTGCGTATGTACGGAGTTCCTGACAATCGGCGGTGACGGTGTCCCTTGAACTAGGCCATTTCCAAATGTTGGAGTTGTGATCTAAATATAACCTAACCAAATGGTCGTGTTGGTGCAAAAACGTCGAAACTGCCAGATCTTTAGAACTTCAGATTTGCTGTGTACTTTTATCGAGATTTATCCATACATCATTACAGGAAAAAATTTCACTTAAAACTGTTTTCACTGAAAAAGCTATTCAAAACCGACACACAACGTTTAGCATTGACACGACGTAATACTTGTCACAAATGAATTCAACACATTAGCTTCATACTCAACGTAACAAACGCCACAAATTCATGGTTTAATAGTTCAGTATATAATTTGAAAAGATAATTGATTTCAAGTTAGACAAATGAGGTCAGAGTTACCGCCAAAAATAATAACGGCTTTGGTGATATACATGTAACTACATTATCTGATCAATATCTACATATCTATAATTGATTATGATGTATTGTGCTATTTTCAGTGTCAAATCTTTTCTAAAAGGATAAGCTGAAAATTTAAGTATTTCTCTTGCTTAAAATTGTAGCTGCAATGAATTTTTCTCAGGCACAGGTATTCTTCAACGTTTTATTCTTTTTAGATGTTGAAAAATCTTCTACACTCCCATTTGGTTAAACGAATTGAAAAGAGCATTTTGTCAAAAAATTTAAATTATCCCTGCATTCCCGGACAACTGAGAGCGCTGTTCCTGTGAAGTCATCTAGGAAGAAATAGTTCAGTGCATAGGCTTTCCTGTTCAAATTGTAAACCCAGAATTTACTGAAACATTTCTGAGAAAATGTTTGTTTTTATACGCATAAACAGTAATAAGCCAGCAAAGAAGAGAAAACTGAGTCCAGCACACCCTACAAAAAAGCAGGACTTTTTGGTACAAACCAATGTTATATTGAGGCTTCTTCCCAAGATGACCTCAACATTTTGCTCATGAATAGGGACATCTCATTAGCATAAAAACAAAAAAGGGAGCGATACCCTTTGAAATAGTGAAACAAAAGTAAAATATAAGGCGAGTGAGACACAAAGGTGTATATTGAATATGTATATGTAAACAAACTGATTGCACCTACTTTATTACTATTTCTATGTCCCCTATACGTCTTTGCTATACAGTTTTTTCCAGAGAAGCTAAGACTGAGAAATAAATGTTTCAACATACTTTAAAAAACACACACATGTATCTGTATATGTATTTTAAAACTAGGAGGGACCCGCCCAAACACCTCTAATGCTGATGCCAGTTCATTTTGCACATAACTGAAATAGCTTTTTCAGCTGTTAATGTTATCCGGTACATAATGTGAGTTCAGTATAATAACTGTATTATCTTACATTCAGCACCTCCATAGCCTTGTTGACGATTCCCCTAAGATCTGATGTTCTCCGCGTTATTGGGGATTTCAATGCAAATGTGGGTTGCGCTTCTCTCAGCAAGGATGTGGCCTGGGAAGCCCAAACGAGCAAGGGATGTGACTTTGAGAGATTTGTTAAGTGAATCATCTCTGCCTAATGAATACCATTTTTGATCAGCACCCTCGATGTAAGTACACGTGGACTGCTCCCGATGGTAGAACCAGGAATCAGATTTACTATATTCTCACCAATACACGATGAAATGCACGATATATCTAGGGGCTGATTGCAATAAGGATCATCGGTTGCTAATGTCATAGGTGAAACTTGGGATCAAGATTTTCAAACAAGCAAAACCCCCAGCTAGATACGATTTCTCTAACGTTCCAAATTCCTTTACTGTACAGGTCCGTAGCACTTTTGAACCTCTGCCTAGAGGAAGCCGAACCAGAGGAATTATGGAAAGCAGCTAGACATACTGACAACAGCAGCCAAAAAACATATTTCAGAGCGACTCAAGTGCAAAGGTACAGAATGGATCACACAGGAGACACTGGGTGTGAAAGAGAGAGTTGTGAAAGGTCAGACAGGTAAAACAAGCAACGAATACAAGGAATTAAAGGGTAACAGAAATAGAAAACAATTAGAACATCATGGGTGGACAACATAAAGAATTGGACTGGCCTCATGGCTACAGCTGCTAGTGGCTTAACAGTAGGTCAAAATGAAGGAAAGAGGTCGCCAAGGTTCTGGTAGAGTATGGTTCATGATGATGATCATGATGATGATGATGATGACCTTTTTCCAGCTCTTGTTCCCTTCACACTCTTTCATGACTAGATTCACAGGGAGAGGATTTCATCTGCAAGCAAGATGAGTAAAACCAAAATCTGTGCTGAATATACAGAGGGAAATCACAGAGGGAAACACTACGGAACGAAGGAAACAGGTAGACTATACAGACCACGTTTCATTGGGATGCATATGTGCATGGCGATGGAAGGATGCAAGACTGTACCCAGGCTGTTTAGTGTTGGAGTCTGTGATTGTTTTAGTGTTATGCTTGGCAATAGTAGTTTCAGTTTTGTTGCTTTAACACAAAATAAAATCCTTGCCAATACACAATTAATATCTGCAGCAATTTGCCTTTCTTCTTATGCAAAAAAGAAAGAAATTAATTCTTTGAACAAAGGTATACCGATTCTCCCATTTATACGTTATTGCAATTATTTATTTATTCGATCATGTTATGCATTTTGTCCCCAAGGCAAAATATGAGCCACTTCGGCAGGTCGTATTCCAAGGTTCGTATTCGATATACAGCAAGATGCGTGCGCAAGGTCTGCCCTATCAGCGTGGCCATACGCCAATTACACGCTTTGCTGTCGAATGACCTTTTTTTAATACCAAACTATCTCAAACGCACACTTTCATCATTCGATTAATGATTTTAGACGGTGTGCATGCATTTAGGTTCTAAAAGTGTTGTCACTTGTTCGAACTTACTATTTTTCTTCCAACGCACTGGCTGTGATTTAGCCGTTAGCTATGTTTCCATAAATTGCTGCCATCAAGCGTCTCCATACTTTACAAACGACCGTGAAATGCTACCGTATAGAAGATTTTCAGTAAAGTGATTTTTGATGGTCAGCGTTCAAATACCGGCGATGGTGCACCTCCAAGAATTAACAATGCATTGGCCAGTCACAACCAAAGATCGTATAGCACCGCGTAGCGGCCCAAGATGGGGAACTTCACCATGAATACGCGTAAAACGTTATCACACGGGCGCCATTCTGGTTGGACTACGACTGCGCAGTGCATGTTAATGCACAGGCGCAGGCGCCACCACAGGCACGTACACACATGAATGTTCGAACTCGAATGGCGCCTATGGTGATGACACCTTTATGGCTGAATTACCCATCTTGCGCCGCGTAGCGGCGCTATATAATCTTTAGTCACAACGAGCGAAATCTGTTGACCTTTTCCAAGCGCGCATTGGGCTGACAGATTTCGCACAATCTGATTGGCCAACGCATTGCAAACTCTTGGAGGCGCACTATTGTGAAACGCCCGTATTTACACAGCTTTGAAGTCTCTCAACATTGTGATGTACAGGAATTAGATAAAATATCCATATTCGAAAATGCACGCACCCCCGCGAATACGGTATGCTTCCTGAAATGCCCGTGTCTGTCGTGCTACGTCACGTGAAAAACATCTATACTCGCCCTGAGTTGAGGACAATCCTTACCGGCCAAGAATAGACAGGCTCAGTCTGGTGGGAAGGTTTTCAACTGAGCTCGTGCAAACGCCCAGCGCACACGCGAAGACCATACATTCCAACAAACTGGTTGCGCGTACTCGGCGCACTCCGCGCGCTTACGCGGTGAGTTCCCATCAAAGGACCGTCGTTTCCACATAAAACCACGCCCTCTCTTGTTCCCTCTCGGCGCGGCGAGAAGCACTACTGACCGAATCACTTGGCGAACATACGATGGCAGGGTCCTGCAATGTTGTCCTCGCATCTATTCTCTTGTCGACAAGGTAAGATTTTATGTCGTCTGCCATGACTGTATAATCCGCCTTGTCATGAAACAGTATGTGAGCTGTGGCTACGTAACTGTTACCCGTTTTCTGAAATAGATAGAGAATTAGTTATTTTTATTCGGTCGGTAAAATATGATTTGTCAAGAGGCATTAAGAATGGATAATGGGTAAGGAAAAACGAGAAATAGTGTCAAATCATCAATGTCCGTATCAACAAGGACGAAAGTTCGATTCTTGATAGAAAATGAAAGCATTCTTGCGCCAAAATAAAGCTTTATGCAACATAGCAGCTACCACAACTCAACAGCTGCGTTATAAGGGCGACCTAACCTTGTACAAGCGGTACCAGACACAAAACCTACGTATATCTGGAAAAGAGCAGAGGCATGATTCACTTAGGGAAATCTCATTTAATCTGTACATGCATTACATAAACCACACAAAATATAAATTGTTTAAAGTGTAATTCCTAGGACCGAGACAGGGGCAGGGCTGCAGTACTTTTACTTGTATATTGTCTCTTTGTCTTATACTGTCACACTATTTTAAGAATTCAACTTACATTTTCAGGTGGATTTTCTGCATCTTTACTATTCTCGTTTATTTCAGAAGGAAGGGACTGTAAAAGAATCTTGCTTGATTGCCGAACTGGAAATAAAAAACAAAAACAAGAGTGCTGTGCATATCGAAACTCTTAAATAGGTTGGTTTACTTGGGAGACTCTTTGCTTGTAGTGTGTATCTCACATTTAAGCCACCCACTGCAAACCACTGACTAAATAGTAAGTTATTACATGTGCTTCAATTTACGTCAATAACCTCACGTGGTAGCTGTATATCGTATGAAATTTAGACGCTCTGGGGGAATTGATGATTTCATTACAAAAACGCAAAACATTCCACCCAAAAGTAAAACTAAGGAAAAGAATGTTCAAGTGGTAATTGATAACCTGACGAGAATATGAATCAAACCATAACCATGGGTTTGATTGCGGGTTTAGGCTCAGGGTTTGGGGTTTAGGTTTGAGTTTTGATTTTTGCTGGAAGGCAGGTCAATACTTGTTCAAGGTTTACCATACTTCACTTCAAGGCCACCTTAGATTTTTTTCTTCAACTCACACAACGGAATGGTTGTGACTGTAATGATTGCCACAATGATGAGACTCATGGCGGGATCCACGTAGTGCCTCCACTCGAATTCCGTCAACCAGATGAACAGGGCACTGACTATAACCACAACTGAACCCAAGGCATCCCCCAACACGTGAAGAAACACGCCCCTCATGTTCAGGTGGGCATGGGAGGGCGCTGTGACAGTGGCTATTGACAAAAATCAAAAAGTCAATTTAAAGTCATCAGTACCGTAGAACCTGAAGCCAGGTTAATGTTGAGGAAGTTCGACCACTGTTTATTTGCTTATACCAAAGCATATGTACAATACCGTCTGACTACACGACCAAAGTCGAACTATTTTCGCGAAATCCTATCGATATCTTGCGCAAGTGAGCGTAAGATATCGAGTGACGATAGTCACTCGATATCTTGCGCTTACTTGCCAGGGGCGTCGCTAACCATTTTAAATGGAGAGGGCTGCACGAAATTTGTCGACGGAAAAATGAGTGTTGCAACGTCGGTTGTCTGATCCCCGACCTTACACTTACTTGACCCCTCCCCCTTCCATCTCCATTCTTGCTAACACGACAAAACTGACTTCTGGTGGTGTGACACCCCCATATCTCCCCAGCGACGGCCGTATCGATGGGTTGTCCTGTTCCTTATTTTCAAAGTGTATGCCAATTATTCTTAGGTCAGTAGTTCACTCTGTGTTTAATTTAGACAACACAGTCGAACCATCTATCGTTCAACACTGAACGACCTATCATAAACTACAGTCGTCGCTCAATCTTGTCTTAGTCAATGAGTGCCCGCTGATATGGTTTTTGTATTCAACTGGAATACGAGTCAAATTATCGCACACTTCCTGATTCATTTGAGGCCAAGAATTGTCGACTCGAGTCGCTGTTTTTGTGACTCGTGACTTGACTTTTAACTGTCAGTTTTTGACTTGTGACTTGACTTGGACATTATGACTTAATTATTACCAACGCAAGTCAGAAAAAATATTTAATCGAACCCATTACAGTTTTAGACTAGACTTATCAACTTACGCCTTACGTTCTTATCTTACAATCATCGTAAGACTTCGCCCGTCTCGCGACTTCTACTAATAGGTCTTGCATGTCCTGAATCGCTGTTGTCTGTAGTCTTGCATATTTTGTTCGGCAATGCTTACGATTTTCCTTGTTTCTCCGGGACTTTCCGGGGGAGCCAACCAACAGCTTCGTTTGAGCCTTATATTGAATTATTCACATCAGTTCATGACGGCACTCAGCCTAGAATTGAAAACAAAAAGGGCGTCCCGATCTCGAAGGCCGAAAATTTGCGCGTAAAATGCCAAAATGCCACGCTTAGGTGGTTGTAACATGCCTTCAAGACACGCTTATAAATTAATTTTATAACAACACTACTTTTCCTTAAAATGTTATAACAGCCGTCAAAAGGTGATAACACGCCCTAAAAGTGAAATTTAGAAACTTCCCAAGCATTTTACTTAGAAAACACTTTTTTTTTTCAGACAAGTCTCACTGGTTTGTGCATAGGGGCATCAAGTGTTGTCCGTATTTTATGGAAATCTTTCCATAACAACTACCAATATTCAGATATTTGTTGAGCATTCATCCTATAAATAGAGGGATCCCAATACGACGCTTTTAGCGTCGATCTGCGCACTTCCGCGTTTGAAAACGAGGCTGTGTCAGCTTTAATTCTTAATACGATCAGACGATTGAAAGTAAGGAGTCAAGACACAAAATACATAAAGGTATAATAAACTCAGACTTGTCAAGCTGAAAGTTTTTGTGGAAGAGTCTTTCAGGATGATTCGACACGTAAAATCCAAAGAAAAATAACGACAATTGACCGCGAACTAACGTACCTCCGATGGTCGTGCATCTTGTGCAGTGGGCGTGGTTTAAACTGAAGTGGCGTCACACTTACGAACTGGATACTCCATGTACTGTGTGGACTCCGCGGGCGCGCGCGACGAAGTTCAACACAGAGACCTTTGGTTTCGATGCAGATATGCGCAGACGGCGCTAATGTGAAATCCCTCTATTGCAGTTTGGGAGAAAAACGGAACGCATTTGCGATACTGAAGCATGCGGAGACATCATTCAGCGTGACCGTACACCGTGTGCCGGCGACAACGTGTACACGGCAAAAATTGAACATGGCTAAAATAGTTTGGTCACCTACGCTTATTGCAAGTTTTGGCTACTGTCTCACACTAAAGAAGGGTATTTGTGACAGCTTAAACCAAAGCATCGTTAAAAATGTTTAAAAATGATGTTGGTTGATGTTTCAGTTTGAACACGTCGTTCGTTAATGCATATTGGACCAAACTGATTTATGACTTGACCTGAGATAGAATGACTTGTGACTTGACTTGTAACAAGACAAAATGACTTGTGACTTGACTTGGACTTGCAAAAAATGACTTGTTACCACCTCTGCTAAGGCCCAGTTCATCCAGACAACCTGCTGATTTCATTCATGTAGAGGAGCAGACTACAGTCTAAAAGCTCACAAACGCATCCACCAGACTGAGACCTAGAGACTGCTATTACTGACCTAGCTACAGGGGCAGTAATTGCATTGATGGCAACACTGAGTTTAGCACGACCTGCAGATTACTACGATGCATGTTTCATATATACAAGATAAGCTTAATGAAGCTGAGATTGAGAAATAAGAACCGATAAAAGTTAGCTTTTTACCCTTGTTTTTCGTTTCATCATCCTGGTCCTCCGCCATTTGGACCGAATGAGTGCCGTTCACGGCCAAAGTATCAGTGTCGGTGGAATCATGTGTCGTAGGGTCGGAGGGTCCAAGTACCCTTTCCATCTCTTCGTCAGATGACTCTTTCACGTTTAACTTTTTCCATTTGGAGTCTGGCGCACGGGTTTGGGTGTGACCATGCGGCATACCTAGGTAAATAGTGATTTGATGAATTATTACTTTTTGTATCACTTTAGGGGGGACTGGGGCATCAGGTTTTTTCCCTGTCATTTCTAGATGAACTTGTATCGAGCCAGTTCGGGATCCCAACAGCGCTCGTTTAAAATCGATGTCTCAAAATGCACGACTGGGGTTATGGGGTGCAAATTAGAGACCGACCACTGGTCATTCATTTCTTACTATAATTCAATCTTTCGATCGACTCTGGTAGCCTAAAAGCATTTTCTGCGAAATTCTGTCGCAGCTCACAATTTGTGACAGTCGAATGTTTGGCAGCTGTACTTCAATGTGGGGAAGACTCTTGATAACTGGCGATGCACCAGTTCCTCAGCCACAGGGTCTGGCTAACCATTGTTTGAGTGACGTTGTTAAAATTCTCTTCAAAATTGTTGATGCTCAAACTCAACCTGGGGTGATCAGTATGCATGCAGTGGTATAAAGCGATTAACTGATCACCCCTATGGGTGATATTGTTAAAAAAAAACTGTATACAACAGTTCTTCGGCCACAGAGTCTGCCTAACCATCGTTTGAGTGACCTTGCTAAATTATTGGTGATTGATGAATTATTGATGAATTATTATATTTTTGTATTACTCTGGGGGACTGGGCCGGTGTCAGGTTTTTTTCTATCATTTTTAGATGAACAAGTATAGAACCAGTTCGGTATATTAGTTGTAAAAAACTGTAACTTTAAAAGGTGTCATATCGAGACTCTCGTGGTGTAGTCTATACTTGCCATGTCTACCGAAGAGGCACAGACCAATCCCATTGACAGCTAGGCCGACACAGCCTACAATGAGCACCAGCATGGGATTGTGTATGGTTTCCACCACGATCAGCCGCTGGATGGCGTCCACGAAGATGGTGAAACATAGGGCTATCAGGAGGACAGAGTTGATGAGGGCTCCCAACACCTCGGCGCGCTTACAACCCTTAGTCGATCGCCTCTTGGATATCTATGGGATGTTGAATGGCAAGATCACGGTTATACATTTATAGAATGGCGAATCTTCGTCAAAGATGACCAAGGAAAGACAGGAGTACGAACAGCATGACTAGCCAAGGGAGGTGCAGAATGGTTGAGTGCAACGAGCTAGAAAATAAAGCAAAATCGATATTTTGCGGATTTGCTGCGATGAATAAAGTTGGTACACGAGCACGTCCTGTAGTAGGTAAAGCCTGGTATATACCAGTTATACATAAAATTGAATTATCAAAATAATGAACAGCTGGAGAGTACGAGTGGAGAGTAAGCCCTACCCAGCAGGCACAATTTGTGAATCAAACGTTGACACAACGTTGAACACCTACGTTGGATAATTTAATAATACATGTGTGAAAACTGCGCCAACGTAAGTTTGTAGATATATAAAACGCGTCGGAAATTTAACATAAAACCAAAATACTAATTCTATGTTTAAGCAACGTGGACTCATAACGTTGGAGAAACACTGCGTTTGGATTGAATATTAAAGTTGCCACAAGATTGACCAAACGTTGAATTTTGATTGTACTTGAAAGTGTTTATGGCGTAAAAAGTAATGACGTTAAAACAATACCATGTTTTTTATGCAAACTATCCATGTGCATGCTTTAATATAGTCTCCGCTTTAACGTGGTTCAAGAAAATATAGGCTTATTTGTTACATCCATACCTGGACATACAAACCAGATTGCTAAATCGAAGTGATGCATGTTGGGCGCAGCCATGTTTGTGTACAAACCTACGGAAAACTCGAGACTTTGTGCAGCTTTTACGGCTATTTGCATATGCATCAACAAAGCCCGCGATACGCACAAGATGTAACACACTATCAGTGAAGGAGCGTTTCATTATGCTCTGCGCGTATGATTTTATGTGCTTCATATAATTTTGAAAACTGGACTTTTAAGTCTTCAAGCGGTTCCCAATCATCGCTGTATTTAGAGAACATAATTCAATAATTAATTTTCGAATGTCCTACAAGCACACACATGGATTGAAAATGTCTGCCCCAGGAGCGTGTCAAATTATCTTTGCGCTGAGGACCAAAAGTTAGCTCTCTAGTATTTATATAATAGCTCTATGGTTACATCCAACAAGGTCTGGGTATTAGTGTATTCTTTTCCAAGAACACAATGCATGATAAAACGTAAATAAAAAGCTGCGCATTAAAAAGATCGACAGTAATACACCAGTGCTTCAAGGGTTACACATGTACAGTACATACATGTACATGTATTTGTATATTTAATTCTTCTAGAAACTGAGCACTTTTTACTCTTCAAGTAGGTGCCCAATATGAAGCCAAGAATGCGCATGTCGAATGCAATAACCGAAGTCAAAGTTCATCCCAAAAAAATGGAGTTAAATAGTTAAGCAAAGTGCTTAGAATTTAACACTGCAGTATTGCTTAAAAGGGACATGCATTAGAAAAGGTGTCCAGGAAGCTCTCACGTGTGAAATGCAACAACTGAAGCCAATTAATCCAAAATGATTCTAGATTTCCATAATGGGATAATACAGTTTACAACGTGCTTAGAACAACGTATTTTTATGTGATACATCAATTTCATGGGCCTACTCCACCTCTTGCACAAGTACTGTACATCATGTCACATTTGTTTGTGGGTAG